AGATTTTTAATGTGGTGTTGCAGTCAATTATAGAAATTTTATTTTTGGACGTCGTCTAGGAAGTCCGACAAAGATTCACCCCAAAAAAAGGATGGTCCACAAAGAAAGTTTTCCTACACTAAAGGAATGAAATGGATAGTGAAATAAATCTACAGGAACACATTTAAATTATAAAAGTAAAATCGTCATAGCTTTTTTATCATTATCCATGTTTAGGAATTCAAACCTCCAAGCCATGTTCAATATGGAAATAGAGGGCGTGCCACCTGTCAAAATACGTGAGCCGCTGACTCACCAAAACATTCCTAGTTCCATGGACCTCTCAAAAAACATGCCCCTTAGTTGGCCCAATGTGTGTCCCTCCTGACTGCCTCTCTCTCTATATCTCTCTAATGTGTCAATCCCTCTCTCCTTTTTTTTATTATTATTTTTGGGGAGATGCCCCTCCCTTTCGCTCTTCCCCCTCACTCTCTTGTAAAGCTTCCCTTCTTACATCAATACAATTTGGTATTTCTTTAGGTGCTTGCCTGGTCACTTTGTGCTGGTAGTTGTCCCTTGTAGTACTTGTTGTGGTCTAAGGGTAGTGTAGGCTAAGATACTCAGGTGGGGCAGCTGGATAGGCTAACTAGTGCTCTTGGAGGGTTGGAGTACTAAGTGCCATCCCGTCTCAGTTTCCCTTACCCACTTGGGACTTCCTCATATGCCTTTCATAGAAGAACAGAATTAGGAGGGATGATGAGGCTGTTGGTGCATTTGTATTTGTCTTAGTTTTCTACTTGTCGGATGACTCGAGAGGTAGGATAGACTATTCGTCTATTATCAGACTAGCAAGAAAATGGATGCGTGTTAGCGCAATGGCTTTCGTATGTAAAAGCAGAGATCAAGCCCCCCTCTATATGTTGCACATCAAGCTATCATGGGTGTGAATGGTAGTAAATGCCATGATACATGTACACACAATAAGCCATCAACATTAAATGGAAGATAACAAGTAATAGTTGTGCAATATAGGTTATAGGACTTGATCAAAGCAATTGCGTGGTCACTAACTAGTCCATGTATTACTTTTTTTTGGAACTGCTGAACGTGTGCTGAAGCTGATGGAAATAACTCGATCGAGTCGATTTTGGTTTGGATGATTTCATGAATAATGTAATGTAACTTGATAAGATATAGGATCAATTGCCATGAAAGGTCAATAAATGCATTGCATGCCTAAATCATGGCAATTGGATATAGATGACAGCCTTTACATTTGCTTAGTTATGCACTGCTCCATGCGTTCGAATTAATGCAACATGAAGGGGTGCATTTTGGACGATTGGGTAAGATCATATATATTATGCTGCCGTGGGAGTATATTGTGCATCTACTCCCTTGCTCAAACACCTCTTTAGGAAGATTTTTTTACCCTAAAATTTTGGGAATTATATAAGAATTACTTGATGAATACTTTTAAAAGAAAAAATTTGAATTTTGAGTTATGTGACACTCAGCTCTAGCCCCTTCTAAAATTGGAAAGATTTCTATTCAATCTTGAGGCACTAGTTTTTCCTAGTATATAGAGAGATTGTTTTGGAAATTTGTTTTAATGAGATTATTCCATGAGTAGTAGAGATTAAATCCCCAAAATTTGATACATAAGAAGCATTCGTAGTATGTGTTTTGCTCGAGGGAGTAAATGGATAGTCTACTCCCTAGGAAGTAGAAAATTTTCGGGTTGGGCGATCAATGAATAAGAATGTGATCTCAAACATGAATATGAAAATATCAAGAGAGATGCATTTTTTTTTTTTCCTTTGCTTATAGGATTAAAGTGATTAACTTTAGAAGATTGACAAGAAAATTCATTTAAGTATTTAAGATGGTGTGATTTCTTGGCTTTCAGGGCTACAGGTCCTTTAACATTTTTGGATTAATTTCCTTTACGTATGAACAATAGACATGCCACAACCAATGTTGTCCTTCCACTGTCACCCTTTCATATCTCACGTAAGCTGATAAACATCCACTTGACGATTGTACACAGACACAACATAATCAGATCATTATTACAATACAGTGATAGTTTACCCTTTCATATCGCACGTAAGTTGATAAACATCCACTTGACGATTGTACACAGACACAACATAATCAGATCATTATTACAATACAGTGATAGTTTACAATGTTGCGCAACCCATTTAAACTGTACTAAGAGAGACTTGTACATAATATTATCTTATTTCGATAGAAATGCACCATTAATAGGTTGTATAACATATCCCTTTTATCTTCTAAAAGGAAATGTATTGGTTGTGACCTCACTTCATAAGGAAATGGCGACGCGGCTAACTTTTGGACCTCCTTCCATTCTTGTTCCTTCTCTAGTTGCCTTTCTTCGAAATTAAACACAAGTGTTATGAAATGTGTGCATGTCATAGAAAATTTGAGGGACACCAACTATTATCTACGAATAAAAAACTTTGTAGGTGAAGGTCGCTCCCATCATATAGGACACTCGTTTCCTGGTATATGATGGAATCATGGCTCCGAAAGACATTGGAGCTATGATTTGGGCTTGCGGATCTGGATTCCATTTGCTAGGGAACCCATTCCCAAATTATCGGAATCGAGTTTCCATTACTCAGGAAACGAGATCCAAATAAGCAAGGAAGCTCATGGTATCGAGATCAAATCACTCAGAGCGTGGGATCAAATTCCTGGGAGGAAGCAGACCCCTACATAGGCACTCCTTGTAACTATGGATCAAACAACTTTCTTAGTTGTTTCACCTTCATTGATCTCTTGTTTTGTAAGAAACTCAATTAGAGGCTTTGGTGAACCATCAATGTATCCCAATAACCGCTGGCCTCGTATACAAGTTAAAACTAAACCTTTCCAAGTGAAATAGTTTGACGCATTAGGTTTAAAAGGTATGAATTGAGGATTAAGAAGACCAATGGAAGTAGAAGAAGACGTCGAGGCTATTGTTAATAGAGTAAGATAAGAGCAAAAGGCAACTAAACCTTTCCAAGTGAAATAGTTTGACGCATTAGGTTTAAAAGGTATGAATTGAGGATTAAGAAGACCAATGGAAGTAGATGAAGACGTCGAGGCTATTGTTAATAGAGTAAGATAAGAGCAAAAGGGCACGAGATCTCAAGGAAGAAGAAAGGAGGGAACGAAACCAGCAGTTAGATTTTGATGAGCATGAGGGAGAAAAGCAGTTAGGGCAGTGGACTAGATTTTAAGAACAAAAAAGGAGAACGACCCAGATTGGGGCCGATCTAATGGTCACGATCTCATTTCGTATTTGAATTGTAGTTTTTTTTTTCAAAATTCCAAAGCGCTTGAAATTTTGGACGTGTATTCTTTAAAAATAGGAGAATCTAATAAAAATATCAAAAACTAATTTGCAAAAAACAAATTGACCAAAATACCCCAAAACGTTTCAAGGGTATTTAGTCAAGTTATGTTTTGCAAATTATTTTTTTAATATTTTTATTAGGTTCGCCTTGGTGAAAAGAGTGGCCGCCTACAATTTTATGTGATTTGGATTTATAGAAAAAAAATTAAAATTAAAATACGAAATGAAGTCGTGACCGTCAGATCGGTCTAGATTCAATTTGGGCCGTTGGGCTCATATGTAGCTATGAGCTAGTGGGCTAACCTATGACTTTCCCAACAAAAGAAATAAGTTATGAAGGCCATTCAAAAAAAAAAGAAAAAAAGAAATAGGTTATGAAGATCAATATTTGAGATTCCAAACAAAATCTAGGGTCTTATATTTAATTAAGAGAGAATCAAGAGTTTTGCAGCTGAAATATGTAATGTAAACATCAGCATGAATAGTAATGCAAACAATAGGCTCCCTTAATGTGGTGGAAATATGAGAGAAAGATTATGGTTTAGGAAAGAAGGATGAGAATGATGAAAGAGGGTAAAGATGAAGAAAGCAAGATCAGGGTTTAAAGAGAAAGAGATACTGAATCTTCTAGAAGAAAACATGGGTTACCTTGATTAGAGTTGATCATGCCAAGGGCATATTAAAACCTTGCTCTGATATGATGAAAAACATAAAAAAATAAGAGAGAAAAGAGGCGCACTCTATTTTACCATGAAAACACACACCAGGGCACAACCCTAATTCATGTATTATAATTTATATAATTTTACATCTTGAGTAAAGACAGATTTGCCCTTATACAGTAAAGCAAATGACTTTACGATTTAAACCAGTTAAAAATACACACAAATTTCAGAACTGCTCTTCATTGAATTCTATTAGTGTTGGAATGTCAACATGTTATTTGATCAATCCCAATCCAAATACTAGAAAAAATGATTGATCATCTTGGTTTCTAATTTGGGACAAACATCAGGGGTTTGAATCCTTGGCCTCCTGTGCACAAATTGGGTTTCTTACTATTAGTCAAAGCCCAAAGGGTAATTCCTTTGTATGCTAATTTATATAACAAAAATGAAAAACCTGTCAGTAATAGATGAATAGAGAGGTCAGCTTGCTTGGGCTTTGGGGGCAACTTCAATGGTTCAGACCCTTGATCTCCCTCAGCCATATCAGGATGTTTGGTAAAAAAAAAAAAAGGTTGGTCAGCATGATTTGTTTACGGGAACATCTTCAAGAGCCGAACCCTTGACCTACCAGCTTACAAAGTTGGGGTTTCTACCACCAGGCCAAAGCCTGAGGTACAAGAAAACAGGGTCAGCTTGTTTGCTGGAATCCTTCTCAGATCTTGATGCAAGTGTGATGTAAGCCTAAAGCCAGGAAGCTCTTAAAAATTTGTGATTCACCAAACCTTCTAATGAGCAAAACTATTTTACCTTTCTTCTTGAAACGAAAGAAAAAGAATACCTGTAGGATGCACTTTTTTAGATCTTAGATATTATTAATTCAGTTGAAATTTTTTTGTGCTCCTTGATTACATTGGCACATCCTTCCTTTTTCTTTGCGTAGTTCAGATGAATGTATATTACGCAGCAATGATTTCATGCAGGCCATGATGGGGCTCATATACTTTGTGTTCATAGCCTTGAACAAGGATGAAGGGCCTGGACGGGGAGGAGGTGGTGGTGGTGGTGATGGGACGAGCTCCACGGATGAGACTCTTGAAGAAGCACGTAGAATAATGGAGAAGTACAGGCAATGACAACATCCATTGAACTCAGTCTCAACCCTTTTTTTATTGGTATGCGTTTTCAGCTTTGTGAAACCGTAGGTTGATTATGCTTGATGTAGAATACAAATGTATATCAGTGGTCATTTGAAACTATGTAAGGATGGGGCATCTTCAGCCCTTGTGATTTACCAAACTGCCATCTTTTAATGAATTCAGAGAAAATCAATCTTCTCAACAAATTTTGTAAAATATTCTCGCAGATTTAGCAAGGGACATGACACAGAGCAACCTTCCGTGCCTTTTGATGGCCATCATGGAATGCCAACCCCAATCAAAATTAGGCTGAATGTTTGCTTGAAATTGGGCTCTTATTTTTTAATTTCTCGGCCAAGAGATTCACTGGGGTTCATGGTGGATGGTCGAGCTTGAAAAATCAGTAAAGAGCACTGAAAAATACTATGAGAAAGTTTCCTGAATTTAACTAAACCATTTGTTGGAGATATATTAAGAGCATATTGCATGGTGTTGACTACCTAATGGACAATCGTGGAATCACTCAAAAGTCGCTTTGAATTCACGAGTCCTGATAGTTGTTCTGGCCTATTTCTAATCCAAGCCTGAACTCGGGGTCGATCAGTTTTACTCCAGGGAGAGATGAAATCGAACCCTAGCTCATTTGGAAATCAGAAATGGTGGTCGAAAATTGAATCATACATTGGCACCCAAAGAGAGGGGACTTTTGCTCGTAAATTTATCCTATTCCTTGGTTATGGTTGGCTTAATTATACTAATGTAAATGTTCAGGATGGCAGGCCTAACCAAATGACGCATTCTTCTGATGGTTTGATGGGCTAATATGCATAAAACTTGCTGGTTCTCTACTCTCAAGAAGATCAATTTCTTCCTTTTTCTAAAAAACTCTAGCTCTTACTGTCTACATGGAGGTTCCATGTGTAATCTAACAATCTAAAAACATTCAGTCTTTTGAGCCTCGTCACCATCACTTCTGTATCTTTCTCCCCATGGTGGATGGGTCGAAAATTCTTGGTCTGTCTTGTTGAGGGTCTATTGGCGTATCTGGATGAATTGAAATTTGTTGGCATGACTGATGCAAATCAAAATTTGGATGCTCAAAATTTTAATTTTATTTTTTGTTAATTTTATTTCTAGAGATTGGTTTGATTTTTTATTTTTATGGGAAAATTTTACATAGAACCTTAATTTTTCGTCTTATTTCATGGTAGACCCTCTTTCTATTTTTTCTTTCAAATGGCATGACCCCTCATCTCTATCTCTATTTTATTGATTTTTGATAATAAAAATTAGACCCAACAAATATTTTTATGTTATTTCAACCAAAAAACTATTTTTAATAAGAAGAAGGGAAAAATAGGGTTAAAAAAGTTTTTGAGATGAAATGATATAAAAAGATTTGTTGGGGGGCTAATTTGTATGGTCCAAAGTCAATAAAAGAGGAAGATAAGAAATGAAGGGGTACGATGAAATCTTTAGAGACTTCTTTATGCTGTTTGAAAGAAAAATGGAAAGGACTACCATGAAATAATACAAGGAATTAGGGTTCTATACAAAATAGGATTTTTAGGTTAGTCTGATTAAATCCATTTTTTTTATTAACAAGTATTAATTTAGGTAGGTTCGTATTCTTTCTTGATTTACGTAAGGTTAAACATTTTTTTAGCAAGTTTTTAGATGGGATAAGTTTTTTTTTATTATAGGTTAGTTTAGGAAAAATTTGGACTTTACTTTAGAAGACGTGCAAGCTTGGTCCTTATTAGGTGTTGCTGGTTGATTGAAGATAAGGGAAGATAGGAGGCGTTGATTGTTGATTGTTGGAGGAAGAAAGATAATCAAAATGAATGCGTGCAATGTAAAGAGGGAGTTGAGGCGTGCTTGAATTTATCTCAAGGAAGGAAAGGTTGAGCTAGGAAAGGTTTATTGGATGGGTAGTTATCTTTTAAGGGAACCTTTTTATAAAAAGGGATGCACGGACATTGAAAAAAGAGATTGGAATTTTGTTAAAGAAAAAAAAAAAAGTGATCAACTCCAGCAAACCTGAAAGCCCTTTTCAGTGCAGTCATAACCAATTAAGACATTTCAGTGCAGTCATAACCAATTAAGACATTTGTGACCAGGCTTTCACGAGCAAGATTCACAAAAGATCTCAGGAGAAGGGCTAGCCAAATCCTTGTACCCATAATCTGTATGCTCAGTAACTCGCTCGCCATGATCAAGAGACCTACGGGAAACCCACAGGAAAAAAATTTCAATAACCTGATAAAGATTTATTATCGTGGGGAGAGTTTCACATTCGGTGAAAGTAGGGGTTATTGTGATGGTGGCAAAGGATGGGACTGGGATTATACAACGATAACAGGTGTTGTGACAGATGCCGCAAATTGGACAAGAGTTGCAAAGAAGTGGGTAATTTTAGTGGGACAAGAGTCGGAGAGAAGTAGGTAATTTTCGTGAGTGAAGGGGTCTACAGGGAGAATGTGGAGGTGGGGAGAGAGCGCTATGAGAGAGGCCGCAAATTTGGACGAGAGTCGAAGAGAAGTGGGCAATTTTAGTGAGTGAAGGGGTTTACAAGAGAATGTGGAGGTGGGGAAAGAGAAGAAACATTATGTTGATGGGAGAGGGGATGGAGAAGACCTTGATCACAAGGAGCAGGAATGTTGGGGATGGGTTTTTCACCTTCAACTCTTCAACACCATGTGAGTCTCGCTCTCTCTGTTTTATGTTAATCCCAAGTGAGTCTCGCTCTCTCTGTTTTATGTTAATCCATGCTTCCTCTCACTGTGCTTTTAGTTAATGGTCTTGTATATTGTGCCTCTCTCTCACCTTCTGTTTCCATCCCTCGTTTCTCTGTTTATGTTAATCCCAAGTGAGCCTCGCTCTCTCTGTTTTATGTTAATCCATGCTCCCTCTCTCTGTGCTTTTAGTTAATGGTGTTGTATATTGTGCCTCTCTCTCACCTTCTGTTTCCATCCCTCGTTTTTATGTCAATGACTGCAACTCCCTCATCAAAGGGTGTTCATGAGCTTACACGCATCCCTCTTAATTTCATTATATGCATTGCAGATGTATTCGGTGATGGCTTCATGGCCCGCAACCTCGTCGTTGTCAACACTGCTGGCCCCGCCAAGCACCAGGCAGTAGCCCTCCATGTCCATTGGAGCTGAATTTGGTGATGGCTTCATGGGCTGCGACCTCACCGTTGTCAACACCGCTGGCCCCACCAAGCAACAGGCAGTAGCCCTCCATGCCCAATCAAATTTTGCTGCTTTCCGGATGGTCAATATCTCGGCCTACCAAGACACCCTCTACACCCACTCCTTCCACCAGTTCTATAGAGATTGTCATATCTATGGTACTATTGACTTCATCTTTGATAACACGGCCGTAATATTTCGAAACTGTCAAATTTTTCCACGCAAGCCGATGCCCAAACAGCAGAACATGATAACTACTCATGGTAGGTTTGAACCTACACAGGATATGTCCAATAGTACTTTGCTGCTTTCCTGAGGGTCAATATCTCGGCCTACGAAGACACCCTCTACACCCACTCCTTCCACCGGTTCTATAAAGATTGTCATATCAATGGTACTATTGACTTCATCTTCGGTAACACAGCCGCACTATTTCAAAACTGTCAAATTTTTCCACGCAGGCCGATGCCCCAACAGCAGAACATGATAACTGCTCATGGTAGGTTTGAACCTACACAGGATACAGGATTCAAGCTGCTCCTGACTGCAAGATACGGGATTCAAGCTGCTCTTGACCGAGAGCCACGCAATTTCTCGACTTATTTGGGAAGGCCATGGAGACCTCATACTAGTAAAGGGCAATTCCTCGACTTATTTGGAAAGGACATGGAGATCTCATGCTAACGCTAAGATGGTGGATCATGCAGTCATATTTGGTGGATGTTGTGAGCAAGGAAGGGTGGCATGGGGACTGCATGCTAGGGTGGTGATCAAGGTCATATTTGGGGGATGTCGTGAGCAGCATTCATGGGGGACCTCATGCTCGGTGGTGGTGATCATGCAGTCATATTTGGGGATGTCGTGAGCAAAGAAGGGTGGCAATCATGGGGGGCAGAACCAATCCATGGAGTACAAGAACTGGGGGCAGACACAAAGGAAGGGTGAGGTGGGGGGATTGAAGGTGGATGGAAAGATGAAGAGAGACCAGGAGGTTCACGAAAGCTGAGTTCATACCAACACAATTGGGGCTCTAGGCCTCTGGATGCCCTTCAAGGCAATATTGTGAGCACGGTTTAAAAAATCAGTGGTTCGTTTCGGAACCAACAATCCAACCATTTTTTAAAACCATGTTTGATGCCTTTTCGCTCTTTGCACTCTAGTGATGGGTGCAGTGCAGTGTTGAGTATTATAGTGAACATTAGATTAGTGTTTGGTTCTCCACTTGTGGGAATGTTACTGTTAATTTTATCGTGGGGTGTACAACTATGGATTAAAATAAAAGCTATATGAATTCTGGAATGTTACTACTAATTTTATTGAGAGGTGTATAACTATGGATTAAAATAAAAGCTATATAAATTCCTTTATTTTTGTGTGTGGCACTTTATAATTTGATTCAATTACGTACGGACTTTATTTGGTGAGGCATTTGCCTAATAAAACCCCAAAACCCCACTTTTCTTTTTCCTCAAATACTGTAGAACCCTGTTTTTGCCATTAGTTTATTGGTTTTGAACCCCATTTTTGCCGGAGATTGGATTTCTCGACTTCTTTCACCAACAAATGGAATTCTCGGCCAATCTTTGCCAGAATTCACAGGTTCAGGTGAGCTTTGTGGCAAATTATCCTTGGAATCTCAAGGTCATTGAATAAACCATCTAGGGTACACAACATTGATATAGTTTTCCTTCCATAAGCTGTCCAGAGTACACATGATCTGAAACTTGTCCTTCCCACATTCTCTCAATCCTATTTCTCTTTCCTTCAAATTCAAATTAGCATCCAAATCCCTTACAGATACAAAAACTGGCTCTGACTAGCTATTATAGCGAAAAACATCAAAATCCAAAATGGCCATGACTTCAGAAAATCTTCCATCCTCTACCCCTTCTTTATTTCTTTTTGTTCTAATTTTCCACCATTCTAGCTTCGTTTTGCAGTTGTTGATTTAGGGTCTCCCTTTCTTCAATAAAAACAAAAATTGAGAGAATAAAGTAAAAACCAAAATGAAAAAAAAAAAGGCATTTGTGAACCACTCTGCATCTGGAGAGAGTGCGCTAGATGAAGATCGAGAGGCTAGAGAGAGTGATTAAAGAGATATCAAAACGAGGGGAAATGATGCTACAGTGTCTGATTGCCCCTCTCTTGGAGTTTGGGCACAATCTAAACCATCCATATATATGGATGTACATCTTCGGGGATGCACTATAACAGGTGTGTCTGATGACGCACTAAAACCCTACCCTACAAAAAAAACCAGGGCCATAATTGGCCCCATAACATATTTTCTTGAACTAATTGCGAACATCCATTTGTGTAACTGTCACCAACCTAAAAATTTTGGACATGCTTCAAGAAATACAAACTGGAAAAAAAATTTCAGGGAAGTTATCATTTAATTTTCCGCATGAGTAATAATGTATTAAAATATGACGGACTAAGACAAGCTGTGGGGAAAAGAAACTACTAAGTATTCAAGTCCACATAATATTCGATAGATGTGATCAGGGGAACTAATTGAAGTCTCAAAATTGCTCCATTCAATTAATATGGAATACATATTTGGCTGCAGAAAAGTGTGATTTTACCATATCCAGAGCTTTAGAGCGGTGGGAAATCCTGTTCTTTTCTTCCTTCAACATCTCAGCATATCTGAAAAACAAATAAGGTAAAATGTGCATTACAATAAAAGGCAAACAAAAATATGAGGCATCAGGGAAAGCTGCACCTACGTCTGCTCATAGCCATCAGGTTGGAAGATGGGGTCCCATCCAAAATCAGGTGGGCCCCTTGCTGGAACTATCTTTCCCTACAATACCCTGATTACAGTTAGTACTGCAGAATTCATAGAACATGAGAATAATTGTAAAGATGTCAAGGATGACCCAAGTATCACATAAAAAAATTGTTGAGAATTTCATTTTCATATTGAAATACCTAGGAAAACAGAAAAGCAGCCAAAACATAGTAGATACTTCCATTCCGTGCTAAATTAAGTATGGAACAGTTATGTCGATGATGATTGGGCATCTCATAAAAAGGACCGTTAGTTCAGCGATATAAGATTCACTAGATCTTACTGTTACCTCACCAACCACAGAAACAATTGATACTTCTGTAAAATTTATCATAGCATTCACATTTAAATGCTTAATCTTTAAAGTGTAGGCTATTTTGTGCATTGTAGTCGATATGTATTTCAATTTCAATTTTTTTATAGAATTTAAAATAACAGATAATTAACGGAAAGTCCACCATACTACATGAACTATATTTGTTTATTACATGTACATAAATGAACTACATTTGTATATTACATGTTCAATCTCAATGATGAACATTGGATATAAATTGCTCCTCTCCCATTGTCTACAGAAAGAACCACAATTGATACTTCTGTCAAATTTATTGTAGCATTCACATTTAAATAATTAATCTTTGAAGTGTAGGCCATTTTGTGCATTGTAGTCAATGTGTCTTTCTATTTCAATTTTCTTTATGGAATTTGAATAACAGATGATTAAGGGAAAGTTTAACATACTACATGAACTATATTTGTATATTACATGTAACATCTACATAATCCAATCTCAATGATGAATCTTGGAGATAAATTGCTCCTCTCCCATTGTCTGCTCAAGTAGAGGAAAGGTTCATCTCCACAATCTAACCTTTGAATGGACAATGGAAACTCAACATAGTATACAAAGGGTAGGCATGCAGTATATGGTATACAATCCCTAAATTGATTACAGATTTTTTAATTTAAACACCTCGTGGCTAAATTTTAAAGTTTGGCTTGGGCCTGGAGTTGACACAGCAAAGCTTCAAGGACTTTCTTTTAAAAATTCCATTACATGTGCAACAAAATTAATCATACTCATGGAAGAAGTCAAGTTGGAGAGTCTGTAAAGATATTTCTCAGAATTTTCTTTATAACAAAAAAAGTATCTCTAAGAAAGGAACATGTCAGGAAAACAGTCAAAGCACCTTAAAAAAACGCTATAGCAATTAAAATATCTACTTCAGCTCCATATTAGTTTCTCTATAGGGAAATCTATCCAACTACACCTAGGATTCAAACTATTGAACATCTTACCTACCCATTTTAACCTAATTTCAAATAGCCTATCATTCTTTGAATCAAATTTCAAATAGCACGTCAAATGACACATTAAAATGGGTTTTACCAAATTACACCAAGAGTCAAATTTTAAGGGAAACGTTTATATAGAGCCAAGGCTCTAAAAAATCAAATTTGAGCCTACCTCAAAAATTTTACTGGAAGTTGTTTTGATGCCCAAATATCATCAAATTGATCATCTCGACATCAAGATGCATAGACATGAAAAAAAAATGGATTTCAAGTTTTGAAAATAGTGTATTTTGTAAAACATTTTTCGACCATCAATTTTCAAGATTTTCAAGTTTTCATAGATCTATCGATCTACACTATTTTTTAAGCTTTAAACTTTATAAATAAAGATTAGAATATATTTTAAGGCTATCACAAAGATTTTCAGTATTTAAACCACATTTCTGGACACTATTTGAAGGGAGGCTCTAATTTGATTGTTTAGAGCCTAGGCTCTATACAAACCGCACCCAAATTTTAAATAGGTCACCATTTATCATAAAACTCAAGTCATCATCATGATGAAAGCCTTTTCCCAACTAATTGGGGTCAGCTACACGAATCCTGGTATGTCATTCTGCTCTATTAAGGGCCATACACTCAGTGAGGCCAACGTTTATCATACAACTAAACTACTTTGTATAAATTATAAGAGAATACCAAAATGGCACCTGTTCTGGAATTGAAACCCAAAAGCAGCAGCGCATTTAAGCAATTTGCCTCGATTTGAAGCCCTCGAGACAAATTAAAGTTGTTCCCTCACTTATTATGGATCCCAAAACTAGAGCAACAGTTTTTCATTACTCGATCCAAGTTTGGAAACTGCAATGCAATGGCATATCATTTGCCTCAAGCCTCTCAAGGCAAATTGCAGATTGGCATTTCGTGATTTGGGTTCCAAAACCAGAGCATCAAAACTTTCATTCAAAATTACTTGTTTTGGGTTTGGACATCCAAAACAAGCAATGGAATGAATTCATGTCAATGGCCTAGACTTAAGTCTCATGGCAAATTATACTTACACCCTTGTTTTTGGTTTCAAACTCAAGAGAATGATTTTCCCTTCAAACTGATTCATTCCGGGTAAATAAGTAGAGCAAAATCAGTTCAACCACCTCAGTAATATTTTTAGGTGGTTTGACCATATTTTTGGTATTCCTCCCAAGAAAAAATAGATCCAGGAAATACACACAAACGCATAAAAGATATCATATATTTAACGTAAACATGAATATTTTGTATAAAGAATACACTGTCAAAGAATGATATCTTTTAGGAACGATATCTTTTAGGCATATTCAAATTTATTGATGCAATTCACACAACCAAAAGTGCTACCAATTTATTTAATGGAATCATTCTCGTACTGGTACAACAATCCACTCGTAAATAAGCAAAGCATATAGAAGTCAGAAGAAAATAAATATTGTGTACGTTTGCCTTTCAGAATATTATTTTCTCCACATTTAAATTTTTTCTGTGGAAGGATTCCGACGAATAAATTAACAATGCCTTTTGTTCTGCTATGCCAACGTAATTGCAAAATAAATAAAATTTCAATAAGACTTATTTTTATAATCTTCAAGCAAAATCATTCTACTTCCATGACCTTGTCATACAGAATGGTCTGGTTCTCTTCATCACCAAGCACACACCATGGTTATACCTTCACAACTGCACATGAATCCACCAAGGAAAAAACTCACATGCTCCCTATCAGAAAGAAGCACGGCATACAAAAAAAATAGACTACAATCCCAAATGTTCCCATATTGACACAGATTTGAAGTATGATTGCCCTTTCCACATTATCATTCCAAATTGACACAAGTACATGCTTTCCTCATTGACTCTTTACAGATTAAAAGTGGAAACAGGTCACATTGAATTTTTAATCACAGAGAAACAGCAAAAATTTTAGAATCTAATACCGCTGACATGAATGGGTTTTGTTATATCAGAAGCTTCTTATTGAACAGGCCAAAGATCAATAATTCTCTCGAGCACTCCCAATCTATAGGCCTGACACAAGGGATTCAAGGTTGAACTACAAACAATAACGACATTGGTAAAGCAAGTGAAGATACAGAATTTCGGAGTGGTCTGCATGGAGGATTATGCGTCATAAACTGAACTTACATGGTGGTGCTTAAATATTGTACAGCCTTCAAAATTAGTGCCTGTTCTTGCATACTTACATATAGCTAGAAATTATTTAGTATATTACAGCATTGAGATCACTATATTCAATGGTATTTAGATAACTTCTAGTTTCATCTTTAAGTTCTCACAAACAGGTAATGCAAAACTACACTTATCCAACATTGGGAATGAGAAAATACAGCAAAGCAACAAACCAGCAGAAAAGGCAAAATTAATAAAAGGCACATATTGCATTGTGGCTACCTCAGTTTTCCCAAAGAAAGTTACTGGATCAGTATTTGGCCCAAGAGCAAGAGAAAAGATGCACAGAGCATGTGCTGATTTATCATCGTAAGCCTTCAAAAGATTGTTCAGACCTGGCAAAACGGGAATAAAGAGTCAAAACAAAGAATAAAGAATGGAAAGTTTATGTATGCGATAAAAGAAATGCAGAACGCTACCTTCATGCCCGATCTTCTGCAGAAACCACTTGCTGTTACATTTCAAAACCCCAGTTATATTCAAGGGTAAATGTACAGTAAAATATAGTAAATAAACTGAAATATAGTGAATAAAAGTAATAACAGTACAAAGAAAGTAAACATTAAAAATAAGGCTATATAAGTGCAACTCCGTGACAGACTATAGATGATGAGTACATAAGAAATAGTAATGCACCTTGAATACGAAAGCTGAATAGAAAAACTTACATATAGGGTCCTGCAACAATTCAAATGTTCCCCATAGGCCTGAATCAAATATTTGTCCAAGATAGCTATTAACCAGCATATAAAGAAAGAGAACACATAGAAATATACCTGGAAGGCCATTGAGGGCATTAAAGCAAAGGCAGGTATCTTCAACAAGCACAGGTCCATTAACCTTTTCAGGGGCAAAATATTGGCTTATTAGAAAAGAAGTGATAAATAATCCGTTCAAGACACCATGATATCTTAGAGTTCTTAAATAGACAGATAAAAAAAATGGAAACTGGGACTTTCTTCTGAATCAGTTATCAAGATAAGTAACTATCCTAAGGTTGATAGAACAAACAAGTCAGTGAATACTATGCTAAAACTTGAGGAATCTGTATGCAATGCAAAACAATATCATGGCCTCTCAGAATCAATTCCGCTCAGACCAGGGTCAAAGATACCATGAAATGACCAAGACGTAAAGCCACTAAAGATTGAAACTCACATTAACCAGTTGACATCACTATGAACAATGCTAGAAGTAGAACTACCTCTCGTGCAGCCAAATGAGCCTTTTCTTTGGAAATCTCTTCAGGCTCTCCTTGCAGTTCAGGCACTTAAAAACATAAAAAGGGAGATATAGATTATATAGCACATCAGCATTCATGTAAAACCAAATGAAAGGCTCAAACACACTGGAACCACATACAAAAGATGGAAAAGCAAATGAATAATAGATCTCAAATTATTCAGGAAAAGCAAAAGGCACAAAATGAAAGAAACAACGACGACTTTTGAAGGGCTCTACAATACAATTGTACATGGAAAGGGTATTTCGAAAGATAATGGCACAGAAACCACATAACCTCTGCAATGGGTTTCCAAAGTGGCTCAGATTTACAAGAAAATCTTTCAAAACCTTCAACTGATTGGCCAATGGGCTAGATAAAATCCCATTCTAAGCTAAAGGTTTTTCTAAGGCCCTACAGATCACCTTTGGAAGCATTGACCATAACCAATTCACTGAGTAAAGCCAAATCAATTACATATAGGTCATAGATAAACCATTACTTGACAGATCAGGAAGAATTGTGAAGTTAAATATCTGGAGGTTACAGAAACCTCTTGAGAAGAGTATGATGAAAGAGAAAGAGTTTAGTTATTCAGAAAACAATAATCTAGACTATTTTTGTTACATCTTATCATGAATAGCCGGTCTCAAGCCCGAATGAGAAAGGAGAGTTGTGTTAGGTTGGTAGCCAGCAAAAAACTTTTGCCACATCCCTATCATGAATAGCTGCCCCAAATAGTTGGAACAAAGCTTGGATGGTGATGATTTTTGTTTTACTATGTTTTGTAAGAGTAACTTTATTAAATTACACAATAATAAAAACCGAAGAATATGTACACCCATAGTGTATGGTATCTGGCCCAGCACAGGGATAACAACTGATGACAAATATTGTAGATTAACAACACCATCACATCCTAGCTTCCCTTGATTCTCATGTTTGAACACCTTACCAGAGTAGGAACATATCGACAACAACAACACTGATGCCGATACCGACAGATTCCCAGGCATGTTCACAAATCATAGACTAAATTGACATAGATTTGATACTACTTTTGTTTTGAATAAATTTATCTGAAATTTTAAATTAAATGTGAATTCATAGTTTGATAGATATTGAAGAGGTATAACCTTAGAACTTCTTCTATTTTTGAGTTTAGGGGAGGTAGGGGCTACTGTATCATGTTTTCGTTGACAGTCTTTTATCATAAAGCAGAATTCCTTTATCACAAAAATAGAATATTAATGAATCATGTTAGATGTTAGACACTATTGTCCATTTATCTTCAAAGATATATGTACTTTTGCCATTGAATTTTGCTTTTTCATGGCATAGGGAATCTAACACCCTGTGCCTGTATCCGACAATAACATCTGCTTCCTGTGCTCAGGTAACATAGTCTCATCGAATGGACTTGAATTGCATTATAGACTTACCTCCCATGGGTGCCTCCCATTAATTTTAGATCAATGGAGCTTCTCCGGACCACAAAGAGAACCACTCTCTAATCAAGTAAGAAAACATTAAGTACATTAACTGTTTTGTAGTTGAACCATTTCTTCTGCCTCATGAGTGTTTGCGAGAGAAATGCTTTGAATTATATAATTACTTGGACGCATATTGAACACTCAGACCCTTGGAGTAGAAACTCCTTGAACTTTGAAAAAGGGGGAAATTCCTACAATATTAGTTTAAATGGAATACAAAAAGACATGTGGGTGTAATTACTTGCTTCATGATTTTCTTTAAGGAAGACCTCTACAATAATTATGTATTCCTAGTCTATAAATGACAAGGACTGTGATCACGTATGGACGTGCAAATGCACTCATATCTATATGCAAGACACAAATAAAGGCCATGAGATATTTTCTGTTGAGACCTAAGCAAGTGATAATGGTTTAATGAGATATATATCCATTACAGTTACCAACCCATAAAAGTGTTCCAAGAAAATTTGAAAAAAAAAATCACTAATACATTTACCCTTGAAAAATGATCTAACTTCAAGCCTTGCTAAAATTGAAAACATATAGCGTGAATGGCTTTGTTGAATAGTTGCTCCAACAAATGACACGGTTCACAGATATATTGATCTAGGAAAATTGATGAAAACAGTAAAATCAGCCAGAAAACAAGCCAAAGGCGAGCATCTATTCGAAGAAACTTATGGTTTCTTCACACCCAAACAAGCGTTCAAAAGCTTGGAGCTTTTGCTCTTACCTTTCTTAAAAAATAAGCCACCTGAATGAGCCTCCAACCCGCCACACCACTTTTATATCCTTCTTAAAGTTCAAAAGGCAATAACTGTCCATACAACTAATAAATTGACCCATAGGTCCTAACTTAAGTGACCTTTAAAATGATACTAACTATAAATAAAATGACTAAAAAGTCCTACTGGTCCAGAAATAAAAAATGATTTAAAATAATCCCAAAGTAAATACAAAATTATCCCCAACAATGCTTGCTCCTTATGCTCTAAATGTGCACGAGAATTAGGAGGAATCTGTTGCTCCCATATAGGATAGTCGTCGCCATGACCGCTTGATGTACTTTGCGCATCATCATTCTCCCCAGGTTGAGGAGAACTGGCCCTCGAGTTAGAACCTTCATCTTCATCCATCTCTAGCCCATGATACTTGGACAAATCACAAATGCTGAAGATATCTTAAATTTCCATATGCGAAGGCAAAGCGACCTTGTAAACGTTGTTGCCCATCTTCTTTAAAATCTGGAACTGCCCTGCCTTGCGATCATTCAACTTGTTGAATGAACCTACTGGATGCCATTCCTTTCAGAGGTACATCATCACCCAATCTCCCACTGCATGTTACTGCACCCCACAGACATTGGATCAACCATGTGCGTGCCCATTGGGAACTACCATACATGTAGTACATACGCACAACATACTTGGTCCTAAACTCATCAGAGAATACTCTAGCACAAACTCTGAAGCGGCTCAAAGTACAACATACTTGGTCCTATACCCATCAGAGAATACTCTAGCACAAACTTTGAAGCTGCTCAAGATTAATTTTGTGAGAATACACTAGCACAAACTTTGAAGCGGCTCAAGATTAATGTTGTGTTGCCTCTGATTTCCTTCACATACAATGATTAGCTATAGGGGCACTCCACTAAAAACAAAACAATGGCTGAAGTTGAAACCCATCATCAAGAATCACATAATCAACCATTCGACGTGCACCTTCTATATTAAACTCACTAGCAAAATGCTCATAGGAAAATATCACCAAACCCTTATGGGCGCACTTCACATGATACTCATATTCAAGCAAGGTATCAAGAGAAACAACATCCAGACGACCATTGTCATCTACTTGATCCTCCTTGCCTTCACCTTGATGTTCTCCATAGATAATATCACCTATCAAATCATCATCAAAGATAGGACACTCATCAAAGATGAGATCACTATCAAAGACAGGATCATCATCAGATCACACTGATCATCAAGGATTTGGGGATTAAAGTCCCTTCCCAGTTCCTCATCTACTACTTGGGGTGTAATCATGCTGCACCGGATGACTAAGCCTCCCCATGGTCACTACATGTCACTTGAGGCACATCTTCTTCAAGTAACTAATCTTAAACAAGGTCTCCATCAAATGATAGCTGACAATCCTCTTAGAAAACTTTCATCAAAAGTGTGATAGACATCCTTTTCGGGCACTAAGAAGAGACACATCCGATGATTCCCGAAGACTTAAACCACTCGATAATGTTGCTATTTGAGCGATTCAGGTGACTCGAACTGCACCCAAAACCACACAATATCTTATTGTTCGGATAAATCAGCCGGTCATGAGGACCGTCCAGCCACCACATTCCCACTTTTACCTTGATTTAGCTTCCACAGCCACCACATTCCCACATTTACCTTGATTTAGCTTCCACGGTCACTTGTACTAGCCTGGGAAGTGTGTTTCCTTGATGATGGATGCCTATGTTGAGCTTCAACCTTATCTATTAAGTGGTCCAGTAACCAGTGTCTCAGAAAATACTAGGCAGCGCCTAGGTGGCCGGGGGGGTCCAGACCGCCCAGCACCTAGGCGGCTCCCAGGATGGTGCCCAGAACCTGAGCGGCCCAATAGAAAGAAAAATGTCTTTATAGTCTAACAATATAAGTATAATTGTATAACACTTAAGAGTTAAGGACTTAGGGCACATCAAATGTATAGTACACAAGTCCACATAGCACACACTCCTCCATACTCCATAAGTCCATATCCAATTATCCATAGTCTGATAGTCCACACTCAACGCATAGTTAAAACTTAAAATTTACAAACCATAGTTACCAACCCAGTGAACCACAAATCCACAATACACAATGTGTGATGCTTAGATCAATTTTTCATAACTTTGATAAACTCTTTGATCCTATGGAAATCACCAAAAACTAGTTTTTTGGGGTTTTTCTCTCTGTAAAATAGACTCTAATGGGGTTTAAGTTTCAAATGAACCTAAAACCCACGATTTTGCCCATTTTATATTTAAAAAAAGACCAAAAAATGCGCTCAACGAGGGGCATTTCTGCCCTTGGGCGGGGGGCAGGGCTGAGCGTTGGGCGCCTAGGCGGGCGCCCAGGGACAGCCCACCTAATTTGGTCACCTAGGCCTAAGCGATGTGCCTAGGCCCTCTGGACCACCTAGGCGCTGGGCAAGGGCAATCCACGTTTTAAAACAATGCCAGTAACGTTATAAAACCACCACACCTTATGTAGATGTTCTCAGCCTACTAACACAGTAAGCTAGGGATTATTCATCTCTTTCAACCGCATCATTGCGAGCCATCAACTAATAAAATTTATCGATATACTCCTCTACACTCCTTTCTCGCTGTTGAAAAATATTAATCTTATGATAAAAGGGACTGTAGATAATCTTTAGTATTCCTTCAATTTCTTGTTCATCTTCTCCAAGGTATTAATTTCCCATTCTCTACGTTCTAGCTCTAAGTTCCCACCATGCCGAGGTAGCTTTCTTCAATTACGACAATAATTTTCCTTTTTTAGTTTCAGGAACCTCCTTATAGTCAAAACTCATTCTACAGTAACCAATCTATAAACTCCTCAGGTTGAGGCTTACCATCAAAATCAAATAAGTCCACCTTCAAATCAACAACCCTAGAGCAATGCACCCACGTCTAGGCCTCCTGTGACCATCCTCATCACTCGACTTCACACTAAGCGCATCGGTAAAAAGGTTGTACTTGTGATATTCTTGAGGTAAAAAGATCAGTCTTTTTCCTCAAAAAAAGATCACCATCTTGCCCATGATAGATACTCGGGAACTGTTATATCAGCTGCAGAACTTGCCCTTTAAGGTCCTTAATTTCTTCATCACTGGGATCCTAAAGTGAGTATGTGAAAATCTCCCTTCCATGGCCCCTTCTTGCTGCTATGGGTTCACCGAAACACAACACATGACTGAGAATCAACATAAACTCGCGAAAATCAGCAAGACCTAGGCTAAATTTTGGCACAACTTGGCCCAAAATCAGAGGGCCCTAGATTGGGCTATAGTTTTCTGGCCTTTTTGGTGAAGAAAATTATGCTTTGATACCAAATTGATGTAAGAAAATTGATGGAAACAATTAAATCAGCAAGACAACAAGCCAAATACAAGCATCTATTCGAAGGAACCCAGGGTTTTCTCCACACTCAAACTAGGGTTCAAAAGCACGGAGTTTTTATTCTTCTCTTTCTGAAAAAAAGTCATGTGAATGAGCTTCCAGCCCCTCATGCACCATTTTTATATCCTTTTTAATGTTCAATAAACAATAACTATCCATACAAATAATAAATTCACTCATATGAACTCGTATCACTTTTAAAACAAATGACAATAACTATAAATAAAATGACTAAAATGCCCTCACTGGAAAATCATCCCAAACAATGCTTGCTCTTCTTGTTCTGTTTGGTAGCCCTCCCAAGGTTCACATCATCCAAATATGCACACGAATTAGGAGGAATCTGCTGCTCCCATAGAGGATACTTGTCACCCTAACCACTTGAAGTGATTGGTGCATTATCACATATCCAAAATATCATTACTTGCAATCAAATGGTGTTGGATGTCATAAAAATCATATGTGGGTCTCAAGATTGGCAGAATATGAAAATGCCTAACCGTGAGAAAGACTAATCCGTAGAACCCAATTGTTGAGCCATTCAAAACTTCAAATGGCAATAGACCCCATGGCACCTACTAAAAAAAATACCCAAGAATCCTTTTCCTTATTCGGCTTTTAATGTAACTGAAGGCTCAATTTCATTCTACCAAGCAGTTTAAACATGCCACCAGTTGCACTAGTGTTCTCCCTCACCCCCTACTATATTTATATAGGAAGACATCCAAACCACTACATGTGGCAACAAACAAAAGGTCAGTGCAATTTAGAATAACTATTACGACTTCTTATAATTATTAATGGGAAGGCCTGCCACTCTTGTATTCTCTACAATGATGGACCTACTGCCAAAACCACCAACATGGCAATGACTGAAATCATCCCAAAAACAACCAATAATGGAAAATCATTCAGCATAAGATACGGTGGATTTTTATCAGGGCGCTGCAATAGATACGGTGTAAACTCAAAAAACACAAATGGCATGCAACACTTGGAACAAGCATCCTAGACTCACCATAACCGAGTGTTCCATTTTTCTATTTGCTACTATATTTTCCTATAAAGATGTGAGTAATAGCTCACTAAACAGCTCAAGCATGTTTGGTCGTTCTTCATAAGTCATGCACATTGCTACTTTCAGCACATTCTGTTGAAATTATGGCACTCCCATAATTTTTTGATTCCTCATCCCGTCCCAATTATGCATAGCCATTCTCTGCTCAGTCTTTGTCAAAAAAAGGCTTCTCTTAATCCAAAAGATCCTAGAGGGTTTTTCTTTTCATAAAAATATTTATAGGAATAGTTCCTCTATTCCACACATTTTTATGATAATTTCTAAATCTCAAGCCATCACCCAGCTGCAAACAGGGAAATTGCATATACTTAAGCTTAGGGTATCCACTCATTTCCTTCATGGTTGCTTGCAAAAGAAGCTTTGCAGAATCCAACCCTTAATAACTTTCAAACATTGAGAATTGTCTAAAGGGTCATCTAGGTAATAAATCACCACCACCAGTCAGGTGCTCACCATTGAAAGGTTCTTTCCAAACTCTTCATTAGTGGATTTCGAAATCATTTGGCATTCTCCCACGCATCCATTAGTAACCATTTCTTAGTAACCATTTCTACTGGACTTCACTCCCTTCAAAAGAATTGGGTTTGGGCTCAATAGCCCAATCTGTCTTAGATATTAAAGCAAAAGTTTTCTCTCTCTGTGACACATTCCACGTACAATGAAGTCCTTATAAAATAAACCAAAGGGTAGTGATCACTTCTTTCCTTTACCTACTCAGTCTGCAAACCAAAAGCATCGTCAAGTTGGGTTTACGTGGTTTCAGTCACACAGCCAGGCCTTGTTTTATGAACCTGAAGGACGTCCCTAACATCTTTTCCACCATCAGAGAAACGACCCAGATAACATCACCATTATGTTCAAAGAAACCCAAAAGGAAAACAAAGAGAGAGAGAAAAGAAACCATATTGAATTGCTACCATGAACCCAGTTCAATTCAATCAATGTAAACATGGATATCAACTACACAATGAGCATGCTTATGCTTATGCACACTTAATGCGCACACACACCAAAAATGGGCGTTCCATTGTTCCTTCTGTAAGCTTCAATGCCTTCAAAACTAGATGTTCCAATTTGTAAGCTTCATAACACATTTTTTCACACATCTCGTAAAATCTTAAGAAAAACAAGATGCATTTCTATAGGCTCAAGACACACAGTAATTCATAACTTCACAGACAATGGCTAGAGGTATGAAATCACCCCCCAAAACTTCAAAAACATAAACATCGAGACATGAATATAGGCATTAACAGAGAGAAGTAAATAAGCACATTGCATCCATTAAACATTATGGAAATTTACAGAAAAAGAGTATCATCGTACGATCAAGTTTGAGGGACTGGAAGGGGATGGAAGGCCCAAGAATGGCTTGAACTTCTTCAAGCTTCTTTGCATTCCCTGTGACAAATGTTACGGGCCTTGTGAAAACAAAAGTAGATATCGCAGCCATTGATTCTTGTCTCCTTTTCTTCAATTTGGACTTCTTTTTACCCTCTCTCAAGGCTGGTCCCAAAATCACAAAACCCAGGACGTGGAATTGAGAAAGAGAGGACACTGCGAATAGTTAAAACCAATGGTTTAAAAAACGGATCGGTGACCCCGATCGGGCTTCCAAAAAATCGATCCGGATCGGAGAATCGGGGATCCGGATCGAGAATCGGGTGAATAGGTCAGAATAAAGCTTAAAAAAAATTCGAAAAAATTATTAATATTCATTATAAATATTTTTTTTAGGAATTCAATAAAAAATGAGGGTACTCCATTAAGAATTTTCATGTTTTTGAATGAATATGCGAATATTGATATGTTTTTTCCCTGCATGAACCGCCATTCAGCATTTAATTTACAGTATTTCGTGCTCATCCCTACACTGTTACTGTTGGGACTCGATATGTGAATAATATGGCTG